TCCGCAAGACAGACAATCGATACAGCTATCCCACACAAACAACACTTCAAGCTTAGCCGAGTTCAATACCCTATAGTTAAGGAAAGCGATTACGTACCCGGTCCAGTGAAAAAGAACAATAAGTGCAAGATTTCCGCTATTGATTTTACATGCTTACCAGTTATTTTAGCGGGAAACATTTGTACGCAAACTTAAACAAATGGTTATAAATGCAACTTACAGAAATACGTAATGGCTAGAATAAGTCTAGAAATTTGTGTACAAATCAAAATACGGCAAAGTTGTAAATGCATACAAGCATACATAATACACGCCGTCGAATTTTCGTTATGTCAATGGGTTCTGCTATACGGACATAATCTGTATCACCGTTGTGGGATAAAGATTGTTAAGCATGTTTTCGGATTTAAAAAAAAGACTATACCTGAGAGTATTATAGGACTGCGTGATCGCTATTAAATTAGTGATGAGGCCCACCTGATGAGGCCCAAATAGGCCGAAAAGATTAGTGATGTTGGTCTGTGTTGTCGGTAAAACACCATATTAGGAATTGACACAGATTTAGTCTACTTGTAACACAGTCTAGTCTTATTTGTAGCATATGTGTTTAAATGTGCGAAACGCGCCTGGCTACGTCTTGATGTTCTGCCAACCTTGTCCCGATGTGCTCCTGGCATCAAACATGTATTTACTTGGAATAGCTTAAACCCAAATTCCCCCCCTTTGTTTAGATCGACGGCCTATGATCCCCATCGTTGACTGTAACCAGCGTCAACTCTGGCATATACTAACGTCAGAATCACTGCCCTATTACTAACACTCAGTTATATTCATAATTAGTAATTGTAGTAGTAGTAGTAGAAATAAAATTATCAGTATCAGTCTCAATTTCCTTGAGTCTGTCTTGACACCTACTGATGCGCTCCCAGCCCCACACGTCTACTTTACTCGGAGCAGCATACGTCCAGGTCTCGACTGTTAGTTTAGATGAGAGGAACACGAGCCCAATGCTGCATTTAGACAGTATCATTTCTGACCAATTATTAGCGTCAGTAATAATACCAGCTTTATATATTAGCAGGTATCACATCATTGTTTTTCTCGCTGCATTTTGACTATCAAAACAGTGGCTGAATTGCGAGAAGCCCTTCAACATGAATGCACCAGAATACCAAAAAAACTTTTTTGATTGTATGTGCGATTCCATTGCTTCGCGTTGTCAGCAGTATTATGATCAAAATGATAGTCAGTTTGAGGAGATTCGGTGATAAACAAAAAAATAATACTTGTAAATATCTTTACATTTTTGAAACAATAAAATTATGATAAGAGCCATTTTACAATAATGTTAAATATGCATACGTTTTGTGGGACATCCTGTATTAGTAACAGTAGTAGCAATATTATACGTGGTCTCTTTGAGTCTTTCTGTGCAGCTGCTGAGAGTGAGTGAGAATAAGTAGTACATTTGTACCAGCGAAAAAGGTTACTGTCACGTGAGACGAAGTTAGACTGAGAGTTTTGGCGTCTCAATCTTCTGAGCGTTGATTACGGTAGCATGGTCTGTCTACCGACAAAAGTGTTAGGGGAACCTGGAGGGTTTGAATTCCTATCAAATGAGATCATTTTAACTTGGTTATCGCGTTCAAATTCCACGGAATCTAGCGGACGGATAATCAGAGGACTATCATGAAGCAAAAACTGAAATAGGCTTGCCTGACACGCGCGCAAGTTCCGTTTGCCGGAACAGTCCACGAGCACCGATAGGTCAAAACCAATGTGTTCGAAGATATCACGACTCGGAGCCTAAGTGATTCTGCAAAGATCAGAATTGCTGGATTGGAAGAGCCAGACACGAAATCAAAGGTCCATCCTCACGAGTGGAAATGACTAGAGTCATAATTGCTCCCTGAATCACCCGTTGCCTTGTTAAAATGGGAACTCTGGGAATACAATATCAAACCGCGTTTACTACACCGCGTTTATAACACAGTAAGTAGACCTCTAAATAGCGTAAACGCGGATGTTTTACGCAACTCGGCTTTATTGGCCGAGTTCTGTTCCGGGCAACAGGTTGACGTGCAAGTTTGTTTTAGAGCAATCCGAACGCGGAAGTAAGAGTGCGAAAGAGATGTGAGAATAAATTGTGCCATTTGTAACGCGGAAGCCTTTTTACTGGATTCGGATTATCCATAAATTTGGAGGAAGATTACATTCGCAAAATCGTTGACGGCCATATGTTCCGCACTTAGCACGATTTTGTTGGGAGACCTTGCGTAGGTAAATAGGTTGATCTTGCGGTAACCGCGTGGTTTGACGTGGGTTTCTGTGGTCCCTTTAATTTGCCACGTTGCCGAAAGTGTAC